ATATGTTGTTAATACTTTTTGTTGATGTTATCAATGGTTGTTGTTGAATGAGCTAAACGTGTGCTCTGAGGAAGGGCTAATGCTCAAAACTCCTGCTTTGTAACCCTTTAAGGTGGCCAAATTACATTTATACAGTTGATAAATCCAAATTACCATGTTACACCTACTGATGCAACACCACAGTTTGTTTAGAAACTTAAGATTCTCTTTCCAGTACTTTCCAGGGGGTGTCATCTGATTTCTTGGGTTTCATTCTTGATGGGTCATGTATATAAAAAGAAGCACTTCAAGTCTCTCTTCTTGTGTACAAAGTTTCAGGGAATTCTTGAGGTTTTCAGGAAATGAAAGAAAGAGTTCATGGGTGATGTTTATTTCAGGATGGGAATCAGGCCTCAGGCTGGTTCAAAAATTCAAAAATCATGTTCTACTTTCTGTGAAATTCCTGAATCACATATTAATTCATTTTGGCCTTAATCATGTGTCAGGTTGAAATCCTTTGTCACTCTCACCTATGCATTTTAATTTTTTGCTAGAAGGCATAGATCCAGATAGGAAGCATCAGTTGTCCAGTATAGTTATTAATTATTGATATGTAAGAGTATTTTTATGTGGTGTAACATTTTTTACTTTTGTTAGGGATCTGACTCCAGCTTGATTGGGAGGGATCATTTGATAATTATATTGCTTGCAATAATTTAAATCTGGGATCAAGCATCTTGAAATATGCTGTAAGAATATTTATGACACTTTCATTTGGATGTCAGGTGCACTTCTTCTGTAGAGGACAAAAAAGATGGATTAATTAATGTAGGCATAAAAAATTTCATGTCAGAAATTGATTAAAAGAAAGGACTTTCCATAAATATAGGATCTCACAGTGGTTTTGAAAGCCCTGTTCAGGTTGGAAGGATGAATAACACTATTCACCGGAGAAATCTCTATCCCTTGTCCAACATAGTGCATTTTATTAACATGTATCCACTGGAAAGCAGTGTATCTTTTGGATAAAGTTATGTGCCCTTTGAACAACTGGGCCCTGATGTTTATCCTTCCTTTTTCTTGGTTAGCAACCCTGCCAGATGGCTGAAAATCGTGATGTGGGATGCTTGTGCTGTAAGTCTGGTCCTCTCAGTATAACACTCTATACTGACAGGGGTGGGTACTGTCCTGGAGAGTCTATTGGAGTCTCAGCTGTCATCAATAATAATTCAAATAATGAAGTTCTTGGTCTGGAGTTTCAACTTATTCAAGTCATCGTTTATATTGCCTCATGTGGTAAGCTGAAGCATATAAATAGTATTAAACTTTGTGATGTTGAAGACAGCACTGACAGTAAACAGTACATACTGTTAGCATTCTATAGATTTTTCTGGTGTTCATAGTTTTCTCAGTTCATCTGTAGTCAAAATTAATTTTTGAAAAAAAAAGTTACATAAAATAGACTTTATATTAGTTAATGATAAAGTAGTATTGTTTATCTCAGGATGCGGTCACGTATAATGTGAATCAGGATGTTTCAACTGCTTACTGCTAGTTTTCATCATTTGCCTGATGAAGACTAGCGGTATGCAGTCTAAACAAATTTGCAGTTCACATCATAAATGCATGGCCACCTTGTGAGACAAACAATAATACTTTTATACTTGTACTTTACCATGATGAAAAAGCACAACCTTTTTTACAAAAATAATCATCTCTTTCAATTCCCAGAATTTACACAAATTTAAGTGGAGGACCAAAAGAATTCTGTTCTTTCTGTTCATTATTTCCCTAATTAATGTTACAAAGTATGCACACCAGGTCATCACAATATTTCTTTAATGAGCTAAGGTTTCATTTAGAACTGCCTTGAGATTCATTGATTAGCCTGCAGTTCATGTCAGTGTAAATGTTTGCCTCAGTGAACTACACCTGTATGCTTGCAGAAGTACATGTACATGTAGGTTATTCTTTAATTAAGCGGGTATTTATAGCCACCATCCAGAGACATATACCTCCTAAAATCTTCTCTTTGATGTGGTTGTAAGCTGGCAGAGTTTATAACCCTTAATTTAATGGTGTTTATAGGAAAGCAAAGGCATGGTTCGGAAAAAGTTGCAAGCATGTTTCATGAAGGAGTGAAGCCTGGTGAAGAGTCCCGTGTACCAATGCTGGCATTTCCGATCCCATCCTTACCACCATCCACGTTAAGCTGCCATTGTTTGAGGCTATCATATATCCTAAGTGTAATTTTTCAGTTACATGATTTTGTTATTGCTTAGACTCAATAACGAAGGATTCTGGCATTATGTGTGAAAAAAAAATCAAAATTATGCGGGAGTTTTAGGGAAGATTATGGACAATGACGTCATCGCTTAAAACCTAAAATATAACTAATTTTTCTTAGAAAACTCTGTTATTGTTTCTTTTTATAAAAAAAATGGAATATTACGCATTATTGATAAATGACTCCTTCCAATAAAAGCAATAATATGGCCAAAACAGAAAGCAATTCTTGTAAATGTCCACCATCATGGAAACAGCCAAATGCTGGAACCTGCGCAGAGCTTCATATCAGTTCCAGGCCCTCATCCGATATTTTTATTAACGCAATGTCATTTTTATAAAAACAAAATGGCTTCGTATCCATGAGGTTGTTTTGTTAAATTAAAATGATACTTTGGTATTTTGTACGACTGTAGAAAAAGGATAAATACAATACTCAAGCCAGAAATCAAGATAGGTAACACATATATTGATTTCTTTGACAAATTATGAGGGATTATGCGGAGAATGGCTGATTATGTGGGTCCGCACCAGCACATAATACCAGAATCCCTCAATAACTAATGTTTAAGGGATAGAAGACTTTTTTGTGTGTTTACATACAATAGTAGCATCATCTAAATACAAGGGGGGTTTGGAGAAGTTGAGAAAGTTCTGAAAATTCTTGACTGCATCTTGGGTTTCCATAACTTTCATGAATTCTCCCCCCTCCAAGTGTTTACATGAGGCAATGTATTAACTTGAGAAAAGTATTTGGTACCAGCTCTCTCAAGACATGCCCTCTGCCATATCTTGTGTTCTTTTTAAGATTTTGTATTTTGTATTTTTTTTTTTTTTTTTGACAAATCAGACTGAAATGCTTTCTCTACCAAAAAAGGCAAAAAACATAATTTTGAAAATTTTGACCGGATTTTTGTTAACAGTAACCTTAAGAATTTTTTTTTGGAGGGACACACCAGGATGTGGGAAGAACATTGGCATGGGAAGTCGAACCACTGTCAGTAATGGTCTGCTAACCAAGTAAATCAAATTCCCAACCCCCCGCCCTTACTGGCATTGAATTCGCCAGTTCATCAAGGGTAGCAAAGAGTGCAGTCGTGATCTCATGTCTTGCATCAGTTTCAGAAAAATTGATGCCTCGCAATAAACTGTAATTCATATGTCTTTTAGTATATCTGAGTACTAGTCTGATATCTTTATTTCTTCAACAGCTAAAAGTTAGAGTAAAGGGTGCCTTCAATTCGAATGTGAATATTCCAATCACTGTTGGTTCTGTACCATACAGGCCACCCGTGCCTCCTCAGTATCCCCCACCTGCTGCAACTAATTTCGTTGGTCCACCACAACCACTGGCAGGCTTCAGTGGCATGCCAGGTTACCCTGATGCTTCTCAACATGGTGAAGGATCACAGCCTTATCCAAATATAGGTGGGTCATTAATAGCTAAATAACAAATTTGGTAGTTAATTTGTTCAAGAAGTGCATGCTGTAAATGTTTTCTGTAAGATTCAACAACACTCTGGTAGAGTACTAGGTATGGTACCGGAGGACTTGCCACAAATCATGAAATGATGACTTGTCTTGGTATGAATTTTCTGATTCATGTTAAACAAAAGCCACAAACTGACAACTGTCATTTGTTGGGTTTATTAAGCACTTGCTAAGGACTCCCAAAATGCTGAGGCGTCTGTTGTCACAATGCCTTTGGTTTTGATGAGACTGAATACTCTCACAGCTTCACCAACAATTAGAATGAACAATACTCAAGTGAGCCAGGTTACAGCTACAAAATTGCTTGGTGTAGTAATAGACGATAAACTCGATTGGCATAGTCGCATCGAAAAATTAACGAAAAAGATCACCTCTGGTATCATAGTCTCCCTCTTAGCCGTTTTTTTTGGATGTCACGCAACGCTCCCCCAAAAGAACGGCTGCTGACAACCGAACTACATTCCTTTCTCCAAATTGGCCAATCACAGCTCGGGTTCCATTTTCAGG